AGGTGTGGGGGGGGGGGGGGGGGGGGGGGTCTGTGTTTGTGTTCAGAGACGTCCCTAATCATTCCAAAGCAAAGATGAAAACTTGATATCTTTCATCTGATCTATTCCATGTGCATGTGTGTGATAAATCTGAATTCCCAAAGCAATACTAACTGAATGAACAACCTTAGGCTGTAAATAGACATCTCATTTGAATTGTCCTGGGGTTTGACCTGGATCAAAGCAGACTCATTGCAGTCATCTACACACATTGCCCATTCAAGCTGAGTTGCTGCTCTCCTCCAAAGAAGCACTGAGGAACACAACTTGGCTGTCCAAGTAAAAAGCACAATAACCCTACAGGCACACAGAGCCACATCCCAGGAAAAAGCACATCTTACCCGCATACTTCAGAGGGACTTGAAGAAAGACAGTGGACTTGTATGTCTGTAAGATCCTGGAACAAAATACTTTTTCCTGGGACAAATTTGACGTCTGTTTACAGGGTTTATATACCAGGGGTGGCCAACCTGCAGAAAGTGCGTGGCATGCGTCAGACTAGGGAGGAGACAGGCAGCACAGCAGCACATAGGGCAGGAAGAAAGCAGCAGAAAGGGGAGCAGAAGGGGATTGGGGTGGCACTCAGGGAGGGTGCAGGGTGAATTCATGGCACATCTGTCAAAAAGCCTGGCCCCCACTGTTAAGATTAACCTGGACAGACCCATTGTTCTCAATTTAATTAATGGTTAAACTGAGTTGTTCAGATGGTTCAATCTTGAATGACATAGATTAACTTTCAGGTTTGGTTCTGAAATCGAAAGAGACATGCTGTATTTCCAATACCAGCTTTCAGGTAAGAAAATCCACAACATGAAAAGAGCTGTATTACTTCTCAACTTAAAAGACCAAGGAATTTGTACAGAATAGAGCAAGCTAGGTATTTACAAGTTTATAGTGACAGTGCCCTCTACTGGTGTATTCTACCTATAAGAGGCATGATGAAGTTAGAAATCTATGGATTTATAATAGGGAATGTACTCCTCTGAGAGGTGTCTAAGGCTACTGATTTCAGAATGCAAGAACAAGGCACCAGTAAAGCCAGTCTCTCTAGCATATACAAGAATACACTGATCCTACATTAAGCACCCATCTCAAAGCTACAGTAAAAAAACGACAAAAGCTAGTAAATGAGAACACGCACACAATATTATACAGCCTT